ACCAGTCCGATAGTTCTCCGTCGTCCATGCGCACCCGGGCCCGCATTCCATCGTGGAATTGGCGGATGACTTCGATCAGCTTCGCGGGAATCCCGGCCCTGGTCAGCACCTTCCATAGCATCTCTCAGTCCACCGAATCATACGTCTTGTTCAAGTCGACGGAGCACATGTAGAGCGGTATTTTCTTTCTCCGCCCCAGCTCCTGGAGGCGGCGCACGACGAACAGCATGTCGACGGTGGATCGCCCGGGTCGAAATCTGCACTGTTCCTCCGGGAGGATGTTGTTGGCTTCGCAGAAGGCGCTTAGACGGTTGGTGATGATCTTGATGGGGACCTTGCCTACGTGAGATAGTAGCGAAATCCCCCTGTAGTTGTTTCAGTTGGACCGGTAGCCATTCTTGTACAGCACCTTGATGGTGGCATCCTTCGACTCTCGCGGAATATCTCCTCCGTTCAGCACCTTGACGAGGATGGTATGGAGGTGTCCCAGGACGAAGGGTTCGTCGTCATCGATCTTGAGCAACTCGGCAGGGAGGGAGTCATGGCCGGGTGCCTTCCAGTTCTTGAGGCCTTTCGTTGCCCGTGCCACCTCCTCGAGTTCTGGCACATCTCCCAACCGTTGAGTGTCACGTGTCGCTGGCCGCTGCGTCACTCGTTCGATGATGTCTGGGTTCAGGGTGGGGGATTTGGTGTTGAGTAGGGTGCTGAAGAATCTCGCCCACCGCTGGAGGATGTCGTCCCTGTTCCGGAGCAACACGCCGTTCTCATCCGCGACGAACTGCTGCCCCCCGCTTGTCACCCGCTGAGGCCGACTGATCTCTTGAGGCGTTGGTACAGTCCTCGCATGTCGCGATCTTTGTAGATTTCTTCGAGCTCAGTCACATATCCGTCCAGGTGGGCATAGATGCCCGTTTCGACTGCTGTAGCCACTCCCTTACACGCTGCGTTGAGAACCCTCCACGTCGGTGAGTTCCAGTTGCCCCTCATCGCCCGGCGCGATTCCCGACGTTTGGTAAGGGCCTGCTCCAGCGCTGCTCGCGTCTCTGGAGTCTCACACCACTCCTGCGTGCGGCGTCTCCGCGGTTCCTCCCCCAGGGTCGTCCGCGCTGCGTCGAGGAGAGCATTGGTAAAGTCGGTCGCCAATTCCGCGGCGGTGGTTGTTCGCTCGTCCAGTCGTGTGTCGAGGTTGAGGAGGAACCGATTAGTCACTGCACACCGTGCTGCTTCGAACTGCAATTCCCGTCGGTTGAATCGCTTCTGTTTAGTCCGGACTGCACGGTTGTGGGCAAGCCTGCCACCGAGGTTGACGGTGGCTACTACCATATTGTTGTCTTGAGTCTGCTTTGACTGGGCGAACCGGCTGGGGGATGGACGACCACGTTAGATACTCGGCCGTGATGTGCCAGCCTTGTCAGGATGTAGTCAAGGCGCTTGCAATCGTTTCCCGACACACCGTTGTTTTTGGGCCATATTCCGCCCTTGAGTGTCTCAAAGAACGTGTTCGTGAGAGCTAGCCTGTTTTCCGTTGCGAAGTTCAACAGTAGCATGCCATTGTCGTTGACCTCATCACGCCCGTACATTCCTATTAACTTTTCGTCCCCTCCGTCCATCCTATCTCCCGTCCGCGCGTTGGCGTCCAGTAGGNTTTGGGCCATATTCCGCCCTTGAGTGTCTCAAAGAACGTGTTCGTGAGAGCTAGCCTGTTTTCCGTTGCGAAGTTCAACAGTAGCATGCCATTGTCGTTGACCTCATCACGCCCGTACATTCCTATTAACTTTTCGTCCCCTCCGTCCATCCTATCTCCCGTCCGCGCGTTGGCGTCCAGTAGGACATACACACATCCTTTGAAAGGATCCTCGTCACGAGACTGTCAAGTTTTCCCCAGAACACGCGCTTGCTGTCGGCGGTTGAAGGTTCGGTTGGAGCACACGCGGCTACGAAGTTGACCGCTTCACGGTGGCCTGCCAACAGAAACCTCATGGCCATCAGGCGTCCGTCAATAAACTCCGTAGTGAACGTGGATGTCTTGCACAGTGACTCTTTGACGGCTATCCCCACACCATGGACTCCACCAGTCTCCGTGCCACAGCACAACACCCGGAAACCCGCTGCTGCAAATTCCGTTCGACCTGCCCTCCGTGTCTCCTGCATTCCTACCACCGATACGTCTTGTCTCGATGCCTCTCGTGGAACGCTCTTCTTGAAAGGCAATCAATGAGCTATATAGTGTCTTTCCGCGTCGAAACAGCAAAGCATACCATTTTTTCCAAGGATATATGCCCCCACCTCCGTCATCTGACACGCAATAATTCCTTCGTAGTCCAATGGTTAGGATATATCGCTCTCACCGATGAGACCCGGGTTCAATTCCCGGCGAGGGAGTTTTTACTTTTAACCATATCTGAAGATAGCTTCGTCTCTTTCCTCGCCTGCTCTCAGGATTTTGTTTATTTATGCACCCAAAGGCACGCATATAAACGCACCCACACCATATTATCACCACGGGCATACTGTGTGAGGAACGAGCGTCACGAACATGTATCCGTTTCTTCCACCTGTCGCTCTACTGACAGGAGCAATGTTCTGCCTCTTCAACCTGCAACTACATGAAACCGGCTGCAATCCCTCACGCTACACCCTAAAAATCCAAACCCCAACCCCATCCAATAGGTGCTAGGTTGGCGCTGGATGGCTCAGTTCTAGGTTGGTGTGCCGGCATTGGCGCTAGGTTGGTATTGATGGGATAATCTCGAGGTTATTGCTTGCATAGGTGCTAGGTTGGTGATGATGCGATTGACCTAGGTTGGTAGGCTTGGATAGGTGCTACGTTGGTGTGACGTGGGTAGGTGCTAGGTTGGTGTAGGCCTAGGTCGTTCTTGATTGGGTGGTTCCGTCGGTAAAAAACGGTGTGGGTGCATGGCTTATGTGCGTCCCCATGGACTGCATCTAATATTATTGCTTGGCACACCGCTGTGCGGTTCGTCTTTTATTTATTTTTCGTTATCAGGTTGTTTTCAAACAGAGTTTATCAAGACACCGATTCGTGCCAAGACCGGCATCCTTACGGTAGATGAGTCAATGGTTTGAGTGAGGTATATGCTTCTTTGTTTGGGGGCGGTAGGTGATTGACTCTAGAGGCATTTTCTTTTGAAGAATTGCATGCGTGCGTCATTGTCGGCAAAAACGAGTGGATAGACAAATGGTAGATGACCCCGCTGGTTTGGATGAGGTCTTATTGAAACGCAATGAATGAGATATTTAGTGTCTTTCCGCGTCGAAACAGCAAAGCATA